TAATAAATAATACGCGATAATACCTAGTTAAAGTATTATAGAAATTCAAGGAGGAAGCAATTATGGAGATTTGAATAAAAAAACCAAACTAGAAAAAAAACCAAAATCACAGATAGACATAGAAGTAACAAAAATGAAATTATGTTGAGGCACGTGATAATACAATCTGAAAATAGATAGGATTCTGTAGTAGCATGGTGGAGACCGAGACAAACGAAAAGAAATACATTGACACCAGCCAGAGTGAAAACAGGTTGATGATAGGCGAACTACCTTGGAAAATTACTGGATACGCAATGTAAATGACAGATTAGTAGAGAAATTTGGATGAGAAGTACTCCCAAGATTGCAAAAATAGGGTTCTTCTTCTTTTTTAAATCTTTTATTGGTATAGACTAAAATCATGTTCTAGAGTTTCCAAAATTCATTACAAACTAATTTGTAAAGTCACAGAACCAAGGATATACACATCTACAGGTGTTTCATTGGAAAACACAAATATTTAAATGGTCAATAAAGGTCACTGAGGTGGTTTTTATAACAAAGTTACAGAGTGTTTTATCGATTTTGCTCATTTCTTTCCGAATCCAATACTTTAGAGCCATCTGTATATTTTTTGGATATTTGATACACATATGTCTAACTTATTAATCATAACACAGAACCCAAACGACTCACTTACTAATCACAAAAACAATCCAGGTTTGGATTAATAGTAATTTTAACCTTGAAACAACACCCTGTATATTGAAATCTTCAAAATTTGTTTGCAAACTTTGTAAAATGCACAAAACTAAGTTTAAATGCACATAAACTAACTACGTGCATTTCAAGTATTTGCGCAGATAATTTTATTACGTCAAATTTGTGTGTATTTTTCAAAATATGATTTGTAAATAATAATATTAATGTAATGTGTTGTGGGACTTAAGCCTATAATTTTAAATGCACAAAAGATAGTAAAGATTTTATTTCAGTATAGTACCTCCACTCTTTGCTTATATGTATTTCGTATTATCAGGATCTTCAGAGCGACTATGCAGAAGCCCTAAACATTAATTCAAATCTTTTCCGTCAAAGTAATTATAAAAATAAATAAATACGGACCCCATCGAGCTATCTAAGAACATACAGTCGAAATTTCAAGATTACCAAAATTCAGGTAATTGCCCATGTCAGTCTATATATCATCTGTTTTGCTTTGAAAATTTGGGCAATTATCTGAATTTTGGTTTCGAAAGCTAAGAAATCTTTAAATTTTGACTTTGTTCTATAATTTATAATTTTAGATGTTTATATTCTTGTGTGTGTTTTGATATTTTCACAGTTCTTTCACCTTTATACAACATTTCCATTTTGTTAAAAATAACTCATTATTATGACGAAAAATTTTAAAAATATCAAAATTGGTTCTTAATAGCATGTTTTTCATTTACTGTATACAAAAAATAACTATTTTTGGTAATCATTATACAAATTTACTATTTTTCCAAAGACCCAACGTAACTTAACATTTGCAAAATTTCCTAATTGGAGGAAAATGCCCTCAAGCTAATAGGTATTTTGACTAGTTTGTTATAAAAATTAATTCGGTCACTAATTAAATTAGTAATAATAATTGGTGACTACCATTTCCTGATTGAAATCGATCTGGTTTATTTTTTTTGCAAACGTCACGAAAACTAATAATGTTTCGGAGTGATTTATTAAATCGAAAACAATAATATGGCACTTGTCATATAAGATGCAAAAGTTTTTGTGATTTTCCAAATCAAAAAATTAAACCTGTAGTGAAAATCACGTCGAATTGAATTCATATGCAATTAGTGAAGGTGCTAAAACCGCCGTTTGTGAATTATTGCCGGTAAAATCAAAAGAGTAGTATGAACTAAAAAATTAATTAAATTAATATTTCGAAAACTATTACAAATACTGATACGTAATACTTATTATACTAATAATACTAATTTCAATATTGCCACTTCTGTTAATATCTCTAATAATATTAATACAAATAATTGTTATAATAATGTATAATACTCATAAATAATGTATTCCTGAGGGCTATTGTTATGTTATATGTAATTTATATTAAGAACTTCATTAGTAATGTATTAATTCAGATTGTTTTTATATAATAAACGCATGCAGAAAAATATTGTACGTAACACGATCAAAAAGTGATTTTACGGGATTCACAGGATGGAAAAATCCTACTCATCCGTAAAATATGCCTTTCGGAACTTGCTACGTAAATCACGATTCATAATTCGTAAGTTATTACGTGGAAAACATAATATTTTCTTCTTCTTAGCCTTCTATCGGCCATTTTTAGATATGGGACTCTCCCAACTCCTTTCTCGATTTCTTAAGCAACGTACTTATAATTTTTTCTGCTATTTTCTTGATGTCACTTACACATTCCGTCTGTGATCGACTACATTTGTAGGGTCTCCAGTATTGTATTGTGATATTTCATCACGTGAAAAATATTATATATAATGCAAAAGTCCACCTCATAGATCTTTAATTAAGAGAAAAAAGGGAATCTATTGTGAACTTTATTGTGATTGTAACAAGTGACATGTGGTATATGTAATAAAACATTTTTTTATTTTATCAACGATGAGTGATATGTTATAGAGCAAACTAAAGCATTTATTAGATTATTTCCAAAGGAATTTGGAATTTGAAGATAATAGACTGCTGTAGAAACTCAACTTTTAGATAGTCAATAATTATATTGGAACATTTTAAATAATATCATGTGTACAAAATATGTGACCTACTTAAACTTATAGCAAATGTCAGGAACCAAAAGAAAAGTACTTTAAAATATTAAAAACTGTATTGACTATCACATACTTATAAAAAGCATCATAGAGTCTCGTATTTTCATATAAATCAAGAGAGCAAAAATAAAACAATGACAATGTCCAAGTCCTTTATACCAGTAAATTGCACATATATTAGCTTAAAAACACCAAGGATTAACACAAATACGTAATTTAACTTGTCTTTAGCATATAGAAGATCAGATAAAAAGAATATACCAAATAAAAGAAAGAAAAAACAAAACAACACGAGTATCACACCCGATTATACGAAGTGACGATATTACAAGCAAAACTATATGCTAAATATTTAAGACAATAGTGGAAAGCTGCACACTGTATGGCTCAGAACCATAAGTAACAAATATAAGAATGAAAAATAGGATACATGCAATGGAAATTATGTTTTGGGGAAGAATCTGTAGATTAAGACTGATGGACTAATGAATTAGAAAACTAATTAATGTAAAAAAGACACTAACTGACGAAAAAAAAACATAAAAATTACTCTGGTATGGGCACATGTGGTGGAAAAGACCAATATACCGCAAAGAACTTGGAAATGAAAACCAAATTGAAGCAGGAAAAGAAAAAGTCCTAGATTATAGTGGCACGGACAAATAAAAACAGCAATGGAAGAAAGAGACCTTACTAAAGAAGATATGGATGACAAGAACAAATGGCGATTGGGATCTGATAAACGGCAAACAGAATGTACTGTGTAAAGTCACGGATAAATAAGTAATTAATTTATCTTTAAGAAGCAACCTAAAATAAAAAAGGAAAATGTTGACGGTTTTTATATCACCATAAGGTACCTACATGCAATTTTTAATTTCATCTTTAAAAGATAGTGGATTAGTGGTAGGGTATAAGTGAATTTTGTAAAATTTAGAAATAATAAAAATGTGTAAAAACTCGCAAGGTACTGATATAAAAAGGTTAAAATTAAACAGAATTTATAATATTATGAGTGAAGCTAAATTGTTCATTTAGAGATGCTAACAGAATAAATCCATAATACAATAAAAGATTGAATCTACTATATAGAAATAATTATAATTCCGAAAGTAACAAAGCAGCAGCGAATAGGAAAAACGGATTCGTAGAAAATCAGAAAAAAACAGCGATATTCATAAAAAGGCAATTATTTTTGCAAAACACACAGAAAAAAATAATTAAACGGTCATAAAAAAAATCTATGGCAATTAACATTTCTAAATAATAAAATATAAATCTTATGAGTTTCTCATATCTAACAAAACTGCTGAATACGGTCCTTAACTTTCAGGAGTTCCCGTACACGACTAACATTTCATGAAATGGCTACCACGGAATATGTGGTCCGGCCTCGCTAACTAATTTATACATCAAAATATCGAAGTTTGCGGGTTAAGAACGTTAGAAAGGCAGATAAACAATATTTAAAATATCTTTGCGAGATAAGAACAGATTTCAAATACGTATTGAATGCCAACAGATACGCACGTTTGGATTTTTAGGTGGAATGATATATTTTCGATAAAATTAAATTAGTTAATATTAAACACAATTTTGAAAAAAAAAAAATTTCGTTGAAAATTAACTATAAAATGAATACAAATTCCTATCTATAAAAAACAAAAAGTCTATACAATTTTAATATTTTCCTGAAAAACTTAATTAGTTCGAATTTAAGAGATGTAAACATATTTCTTTTAACAATAAACAGATTTATATTAACAATTTATTGGTAAGTGCTCCGTAAGGTATTTAAAAAAGTATTCTTTGATACATTTAACACAAAATTTATTCCATCCTTACATATTTAGTAGTATTTAAAACTTATTTAAACGATTAAAAAATTGTAATAATCATTTCACCCATGTCAACAGAAAAAAAAGCTGAGGCAAAGTTTATATATTAAAACATTTTTTTATTGCTTTTTAGAAATTTATTTAATATTGATCTGAAGCCTGTTTCTTGTGGCATCTTAAAAAAACTATTCATATTGGAAATAAGCCACAATTTAAGTTTAAAATAAAGTTTAGTTTATTGACGTTTCAATTTCCACTTTGAAAATCACACTCAAACTACAAAACCGTCATAAAAACATCTTTATATTAATGCAAAGATCACAAATAAAGTTTAAAACTACTAAAAGTTGATAAAAATTTGAAATCTTACCATTTGATTTTCGTCAAATTTGAATTGCGCTCCAGACATTTGCGTATTCTTCACTGAAGCAAAAGCCTGCACTTCCTGCTGCTCGTTTCTGTTATCCACCGAGTTCAGATAACTACCGTCGGCAATACTTCCATAAGCTGGTGGAGACCTGGTGTCACTAGAACTTGGTGAAATCGGTTCTGTCAACAACATGTCGCCGTACTGTTCCTCACTCACTGACATGGTACTACTGCTATCGTAATATCTTACCAAATTAAAACAAAATTACCAGTTTAAGGTATTTATAATGGTAATGAGCTGGCCATGCCACGCCCCCCGCGCTGTTATCGGCCATTGGGATCTGAAAGCAGGTAGTGAAGGTTATATTAGAAAACTGGAAATTTGTTCTTATAGGTTGAAAATTTCGAAAAACAATAGAATTATTTTAAACAATAGAGGATTTTCAGGTTTTGGGGGAAGCCGAAAGGGTGGGTGTAGAATTTGTAGAGGGAGTATTATCCTAGAATAGATTTAATTTTTCACCATTCTTGGTAAAAAAAGGAGCAAAAAATTCCTTTTTAATCTAAAAGAATTGTGTGCCTTTTATTTTTAAAAATAATGACAGTTTCGGATATTTTTCGTTACATTAATATTTTTTATTTCCTTGTTACCAAATTTATTCCAAAATAGCTAAATACACTAGTAAATTTGTTTAAAAGATGGTTTTTAAAAAAACTTATATTACGTTTTTTAAAAATCATCAGAAAAAACCAATTTTGTAGCATGTCTTCTAATTTGATGCACAAAACACACAGCATTAAATTAGTTTTCCGACTAATTCATTCTAGATATGTACACTGTATTTATTATTGACATCTTAATTAAAAATATATTATAACACCAATTAATAGAAATTTATAGTAATAAATATAGGCTAAATTCACTCTTAATATGAAAAAATGAATGAAGCATCGATAAAACATGCATGCATGTAAGATTATGCAACAATTCGTAAGAAAGGGGAACAAAACCCGAAACAAAAACAATGTGTTGTAATCTGTGAGTGTATCTTAATCTATAAGAAAAAAATTCTAATCAAATGAAACGAGGAATTAATCGGAACAAGGAAGCGGATAGTAAGACACGGGAAAAAACTCACGGCTCCATTCAAAGCAGGTAAATGTTGACAATATTGCTGTTTATCACTTAGGGTATTTATTATTCATCTAAACAATTTCTCAAATAGGCAGGTAATTTTTTTTATAAAAAAAACTCATTCAAAAATTCAAACAAATTTTTGATACCATTCTTTTTTCTTCTTTTGTTGGTCTTAGTCTTAGATATATGAAAAGAAAATTTCAAAAGACAAATGATCTTAAGAATGTCAAAATGTATATCTTAAATAGTAACTAAAGTCATTGGGTCTTAAATACAGTCATGGGGTTTATCGAAAGAAAGTTTCAATTGTAATATAGATAAGCCATCGCAATGGAGAGGCTATGGTATCGGCTTACCAAGCCAGATGGTCTAGGTTCAATTCCTGACACATACACTAGAAATTTTTTAGTTTTAAATTTAATTGAGCTGCCTCTATTCTTCTTTTTTTTATTTTAAATAAAATTTATAAAACTGGCTATATACCAACAGATTGGCTGCTGTCGACCTTTGTGACGATATCTAAAAAAAAAACAAATGCGGAAAGATGTAGTGACTAACGAACCATCAGATTAATGAGCCATGTTTTAAATATATTTCTTTGAAGTTTGTCCTTAAGTTTGGCAAATAAGTATTTATGATAAAGACCTACATATCATTAAAAACCTTTACTAGCATTAGCGTGCAAACTTTAGGATTGGTCAGGATAATTCTAATGAGATTCAAATACGAAAAGGAGTAAGACAGGGCTGCAATTTGTCCCCAGTAATATTTAATATCTATTTGAAATTCATTTTCAATAAAGTATTGGATAGAGTTCAATGTAATATCAAAATTAATGGCATCAATATTGACACTTTGTGGTACACGGATGACACGCTGTTAATAGTAAACAGTTACAAAGATCTTCAATATCTGATTAATCAGAAAAACTACAACGTGTGATGAATATGGATAAAAGCTAAAACACCATAAAGACAAAAGTAATAATTGTCAGTATAATGCCAATACAACCAAAAATGATAGGAGCTTATGGAGAACAACTAAAAAGAGTCAACGGTATTACTTATCTTGATCGTTATCTAAATGAGAACTGGGACATAAGAAACGAAATAAAAATACATAAGAGAACGCAAGAGCTGCATTTTTTAAGGTGAAGAAAATCTTATGTGGAAACATTACTTTTAGAATGAAAATTAGATTAGTAAGATAATATGTGTTCTCTATTCTTTTATGGAACATTCGAAGTATGAAATAAGCAGGCAAAGCAGCAAATAATATTCAAGAAATGACTCGCCTGAAAATAGATATTTTAGAATGCGGTGAAGTTCGATGGATAAGTTCTGGAATAAAAGATATAGATGAACACCATATTTATTATTCTGGAGACGACATAACAATAAACAAAAATGGCACAGCGATAATAGTAAAAAGGGAGATAGCTAAGAAAGCAATAGGATTTACGCCTATATCAGACAGAGTTGTGCTGTTCAAAAATTAACCCAAATACCTCTAATATAAACATTATTCAGGTCTATACACCGACATCATAATCCACTGAAGAAGAAATAAAAAATTTCTATCAGACTCTAGAAGACTCTCTAAAACTAACCAAAAAACATAAATTACTTACTATTATCATGGGTGATTTCAATGCCAAAATAGGACAAAATACAGTCGAGAATGTCATGGGGTCATTTGTTTTTGGCATAAAAAAGGAAAGAGAAGAAAGACTAATCCAATTCTGTCAACAGACGGATATGGTTGTAACAAAAACATTTTTTAAATTACATCCAAGGAAACTTTATACATGTAAAGCACCTGGTGATATGCAAGGGAAAATTATACGAAACCAAATTGATTATATCTACATAAACAAAAGGTTTAGAAATTCTATCACCTCAACAAAAATATATCCAGGCGCATATGTCTTCTCAGATCATAGTCTATGGGTTGCAAATATGAACATACGACTCAAAATAATTCATAGGAAAATGAGACCCAAGATAGATATAAGACAACTAAAAGAAAATGACAACCAAAAAAAACAGAGATTAATGAGAATTTTCTAAAAATAGTTAAAGACACAGAATGAAATGAAGACATCTATTACCAAAATTGCGCATGAATATCTAAAATAAAAAAGAGGAAAGAAGCAAGAATGGATGACGATAAAATATTGCAGATGATGGAAGAGCGCAAAAAACTAAGAGGTAGAAATGACAAAAAATATAAAAAGTTGCATAAGGCTAAAAAGCAAAAGGAGCAAAATAGCATGGCTGACGGAGAAGGAACGAATGTATGCAAGAATTATTCGAAGATGCAGCACGAATTCCGACTAAAATAAACAATCCCTACGGGCCAGATATAACAAACGAAGAAATAACTATGGCCATTAAGAAGATTAAAGATGGGAAATTACCAGGACCTAATGAGGTGCATGGTAAAATTTTAAACCTATGTAAAAGGCACACAAAATCATAGCTCTTACGAAACTATTCAACAACATCTACGAGGCTGGTTACTTACCAAAATATTGGCTACTATCAATATTCATTCCACTTCCTAAAAAACCAAACGCTAGAAAATGTGAAGAAGATGGATTAATTAGTTTGATGAGACATGTACGTAAAGTACTCCTTACAACCTTCACTCGCCTATATACACCAAATTAGAATAACACCTGAGTAAAGTTCAATTTAGATTAAGGACAGGACTCGAAACGAGGGAAGCACTTTTTAGTTTGCAAGTTCTAAAAAAGAGAGCCAGGGATGTCAACTGATTTCGAGAAGGCATTAGATAAAGTCACACATGGGAAACTAATCGATATAATAAAAATATCAGTAATCGATGGTAAGGATATAAGACTGATCTCAACCTTATATCTTCAACAAAAAGCAACAGTACGATTAGAAAATGAACTGTCCGAGATCTTCACAGTCGAAAAAGGCGTTAAACAGGGTTGCATATTGTCATCGGCATCTTTAGAGAGGCCTCAGACGAATCAGAAGACGGGATTGCTGTAAATGGCCTACTTATAAACAATATTAGATATGCAGATCATACATTGTTGCTGGCAAATAGTGCGCAGGGGCTCCAAAGGATGATTGATAAGAGTTCTTAGATGTTACGATTTTAGTATCCTACTCTATGGAGTAGAAAGCTTAAGCCTTACAGAAGATGCCATAAAACGATTAGAGGCATTTGAAATGTGGTGCTACCGACGTATGTTGAGGATCTGATATATACACCACATAAGTAACATAACTATACTCCAGAGGCTAAGAAAAGACAAAGAAATTATTAATACCATAAAATACGATACGAAAAACCTTAAACAGTAAAAAAATGATTAGGTTTTGCTTTTTTAAACCTAAATATTTTTTTATAGAAGACAAAAATTGATTAATATACTACTACTACTAAGGATTTCCACAGTTTTCACTGTCTTCCTTCACTCAACCGTTTTCTCCAATTTTCACTGTCATTTCAGTCTCCATCTCGCAGGGTTCTTTTCTCCAAAGCCTTGTCGATTTCGTCTCTGAATGACCTTCGGGGTTTTCCTCTCTTTCTTCTTCCGATCGGGCTCCATTCCGTAATTTTGTTTATCCAGCGTCCTCTGTCCGCTCTTTTGACGTGGCCATACCAGGATAGTCTCTTCTCCTCTATATAGTCGATTATGTCTGATTGCACTCCCATTCTCCGCTTAATCTCTGCGTTTTCAATTCTGTCTCTTTTTGTAAGTCTACAGCTTCTCCTCAGGAACTCCATTTCTATTGCTCTTATTCTACCTCTATTTCTCTTGTTTATTGTCCAGTTTTCGGACCCATATGTCAGGATACTTCTTGTCAGGGTATTATATATTCTCTTTTTTATATTTATCGTAATGTTCTTATCCCACAGCACTGAATTTAGTTGTCTTATACAGTTTCTTGTTTGTCTTAGTCTGTTGTTTATATCTTCTTCTGTTGTTCCCTGGTTCGATATTGTGGTTCCTAAATACTTGAATTTATCTGTTCTATTTTCTTGTCTTCCCTCGTCTATCTCTAGGTTTTTCATATCCTTGTTTTCTGTTGTTAGGTATTCGG